AGACTAGACTAAAAATTACGACACAAATTCATTAAAGATCAGTTAGTTAGAGAGAAAAAGAAATGAAAAAGGAGAACGATGATGGGTGGGGCATAGGGAGAGAGAGTTTGGGAATTTTTTTTTATACAATAACTTAGAGAATTGAATCTGAATACAATCGACGTAGGCTACCTGTTCCTTAAGTTATTTAACATTTCTGAATGAAAAATAAAAATCAATATAACAGAGTGAAATAGATATTCTTGGTTCACATGACTTCAGATGAATGGAAAGAATTCGTCTAAGGCACTGCAAAAAAAAAATGTTCGAAACCATATTTAACTTAAGACTCAAATCAAATTTTTCTATCAATCAGGAGAAAAAAAAATCATTCCAGTCAATTTAAATTCTGTTTAAGAGTATTTTACTTATTGGAAATATTTTTTTTTTTTTTTTAATCTATTAACTTGGAATTACAAAAACTAAAAGCTTCAAGAAATAAATACTAATAATCGCATTTTTGTGGGGTGAGGCGGGTATCTGAAGTATTAATTTTTTTTTTTTTTAAGCAGAAAAGAAAAAAAAGGCGGGAGGTTACGTCAGATGCTGCCAACTTGACAACTGTGGGGTCAGGTGTAGAGACGCTCGACTTATCCAGACCCCCAAACCGAAGTTTTAACGCCTCAGAAAGATCGACCGATATGCAAGTAAAGCGCGTATGCATTCGGTTTTAGGGTAATGGTTAACAAGTTAGTTTCGTCAATCATTACGGCTAAGTAGCGAGTTATTATCCACATTGGATTTCCCATACCAAAAAACAAAACTAGACTAAACTTTGTAAATAATTTTTTGCGTGGTTTGCTAGTGTACTGTGTCGGGAGTTCGATCCTGGCTTCTGCACATTTGGAGACGTGTGTGTCGAATAAAAATGCGTACGTGCGTGTTAAACACGTTTTTACAAACCTTACACACAGTATTCAGGCAAGCCGCAAGTTAAATGTTAATTTAATAATAATATAATGCGGTTTTGTTTGCACACACGCTGTTTAGTTGGTTATTGTGGTAAAAAACAACAGAGCAGGAAAAAATATTCTTTTCCTGGGTTTTTTTTTATGCAATTTTACTTTGGAAAAACGTATTCAATACATTTCAAACAAATTGTAGATTTCATATTTTTAAAGCTTTTTTTTTTTAAATAGTTAAAAAAAATAATGTTATAAAAATGAAAATATTAATTAACACTTGAATAGTATTTTTTTTAATCCAGAGCACTTTCAAATATTGTCTTATTTTTAAAAAGAATGTTTAAATTAGATTTTTTTTCTTAATAAAAGTAAAAAAAACTATCGAATTAAAAATTAAACAATTGAAAAGGGGTAAGTTTGCAGAATTCATTTTTATTATTAATATAAAAAAATTAGAAAATTATTCAAATGTTTCTGAAAAAAATATAAAGCTCATGAAGGTGTTTTGCTTTTAAACAAAACAAGTTCTTTAAATCAGCGAATTTTAGAAGATTCGGCATGTATCGATACAATAGAGCGAGTTAGCTGAGAGGGCGTTAACCTTTCCACCCAAGAATCCTTCAATAACAACACAGCTTTAAAAATAAAATCATTATTTTAAGACAAGTCGGAAAGAAATACTTCAGGTGCACAAATCACATAAAAACAATTTAACAACAAAACGCTAACAAACAAAAAGAAATAAAAAAAAAATACATTTCCGGGTGGCATTTATCGAAAGAAAAAATAGTGTTACACGTACACAAGTAAATATTATTAATTAATTATACTTCCTACCATCGACGAAAAATCCACAAAGTGCTCCCAGTCAATGTCTCATTTAAAATTGAAGAAAACGTGTGATTACAAAAAAAAAAGAAAAAAGTCTCTCGACCTTTCTTGAAAACTACGGGAGTGGGGTACATAAAGGGTGACAAATTCCTAGCATACCTTCTTCAATGATAATCGCTGATACCCGTTTCGCGCTTCTTACACAGTGGCACGTTATCTCGTTCTTTACTGTTACACTTTCTTTTTAATCTTTCTTTGGCGTACACAACAAAACATAAAAGAAAGAAAACTATTTACATTTAGTTTTTGCACATGTAAAAAAAAAAGTTTTATTTCCAATCAAAAACTCAACTTATTTTTACTATAAAAACAGGCACCTCACCTGAAAAAAAAGAGAACAGGTGTTTTATTTACTATATTAATTCACACGGAAGGTTTTTCTTTTTTGTCGCCTAAATTATACAATGCCAAAAAGTTTCACATTTATTAACCTTTTTTCAAGGTAGTTGGTACCACATGACATTATGGATGGCTGTAAAAATGCCAAAAATTCGTAAAACTCCGCTGTAAATTTTATGAAGTTTTTTTTTAGAGAAGCATTGCAATCGCGACCTTTTTTTTTTTTTTTTTGTCTCGTTTCATTCGTAAAATCACTTTCTTACATCCAAGATAAGTTCACAAATCTTGTCTCCTTTTTTTCTGACTCTTTAATCTTACCATCAAATTTTAAATATCAACAAGTTTGTGCATTTTTCACCTGTTGGCAGCAAGTTGTTGCCATGACGGTAACTTTTGTTTGTTTGACAATTTTGATTTGTGAAAGACTAAAATTCAGTTTTTTTTTTCGTAGAAATTAAAACAATAAAAGAAAAAAAAAAAAACCTTTCTCCCATAAAATATATTATAATTAATTTTAACGAGTTAACTTAATTTCTTACATTTTTTTCCCATTATCGACCTTTCTTCTTTTTTTTTTCTTTTTTAATGAAAATGTTTGAAAGATGGACAATAATTTAATTTGGCATAATGAAAATTGAAAAGATATGTATTTTTTTTGTCTATTTAATAACCGAACGTTGTTCTCTAAACAAATGAATTAAAAAAAAAATGATTCTCTCTAAATTGAGATGGTGGATAAGATCTCAAATTTCTAAGTCTCCTGATGACGATTTTAAATTTTTTTTTTTTTTTTCTTAAAAATAACAAAAAACTAAAAAACAGCATACTCTTTTTTTCAACAGATTTTCCCTCAACTCTTATTTAAAAATAATGATCCAATTAAGCTTTAAAAAAAAAGATAATATTGTATATTGTAATATTGTAGGTAGTTAGATTTTTCGTTTTCAATGCAAAACTATTTTGGTCAGTTTTGTTGGCGTCGCAATCGCTATGGTCATGCGTGATTTAACTTTTTTTTTTATTTGGTGTATTTTTATTTGCTTTTTTTTTTATCTTGTCGGTTTTATTCGTTCAATTAAAATTGGAATACTCAATTGTTCACGGTAACAAAAGCAATGCGTCAGTGATAATTAACTTTTTAGTTTTAATTTAGAAGTTACCAAAAGTGTAAAACTAAAGTAAGATTAAGATACCAGTTATACATCTGGATCACCTCACTGATGAGGGCATTTCGACAAGGATTAGCAAGCTTGTCTCGTTAGAGATCAATTACAACAGAGCTTAATCCCCAACGGGTGCTCCATACTTGCAGCCTCGTGCCACAAACTCAATAATAGTCACTTTTTTAATAAGCTGCTTAGCTTGTTACTTACTACAAATATTTTCCTCGCCAGTGACCACGACTTGGATGAAGAACTAATATTTTTCTTTGCGTCTTGTTCCGCATTCAAGTATTTTCTTTTAAACTTGAAAACTGCATAAAAATTCAACTCAGTTAATTAAAAATTAAGTATCCAAAAGGTTGTGAATTTTCATTCATACTTTTCTACGTAATTCCTTCAGCATTAAATAATTTTTTTTATTAAATTATTATGAAAACGTTTTAAAATTACCAATATTGATTCTTAAACTCATACTGTGTATGCGTGCGTGCGTGCGTGCGTGATCATCTTCTGCGACTGGGTTCGATCTCGGTACAACCGGATTCGTAAAATTAGGACTCCCCTCACTTCGTCATATAACATTCTTATGAAGTTCCGCGGTTGACAAAAAGGACACCTGCTTCACCGCAATCACATTTTTTAAAATTCTCCTTATATTGCAAGTTTGCTTTAATTTTTTTAAACATCATTCATTAGAGACATTTTTGCCATCACACACACGTAAAAAGATTTTTAAATTGCTGACAAAATTTGCCAATTGAAGAAGAAAAAAAAATGCATAAATTTTCTATTCGAAGATTTTTTTTTTTGACAAGTATATTATAATTTGGTAAACAATTCTGGTGTATTTCAGATGGCCACGTTTGATTATCGAAATTTTTAAATTTTTGTAAAAACAGTATTTTAAGAAAGTAAGAAGAATCGATTTTTATTTAAAAAATCTGACGTTATTTTAGTAAAATTAAAAATTTGTGCTCTTTTTCTTTATTTTATTTATCGTAGATTGACGGGAAGATATGAGTCTGAGTTTAAAAAAAATACAGCAATGGAAATACAATACATAAAAATAAAAAATTGTATGAAAAAAAAAAAATAAAAGAAATAACTGCAAAATTAAGCAAGGACAAAATAAACCTTGTTATAATAATGGCAAAAAAAAAAAGATAAATAGTGTATTAAGTAAAAAAATACAACATAAAAAATTATAATAATAGAAAACACAGTTGGATCTGCAAGCTTGAGAAATCTTTTCGAAAAATGAAATAAAATAGATTCCGTCCATTGCGATAAGTAACTGAACGTTTCTGAAATGTGCCGTCCTCAACGTCATTTCCTGTTTAGAAAAGTAGATTATTACCATCTTCGAAGACTCCCTACTTTTAACAAAAAAAAAAAAAATTCGACGCCATTTTTTTTAAAAAATATAATTTTTTTAAAAAAAAATTTAATTTTTTTTTTTTTTTGTCGTAACCGACCGAATATAGCCGAACTTTAACGATTATTTCCTGAAAGCCGAAGAATAGCGGAAATTAACGAAGCCCATTTCGGTAGCGCGAAAACAGTGGAAGCTTATAGCAGCAGAAAAGGTATAAAAAAATAAAAGAAATAACTGAGCGTAAATTAATTATAATAATAGCCAGAAGCTTGAGAAATCTTTTCGAAAATGAAAAAATTCCGTCCGTTCGATAAGTAACTGAACGTTTCTGAAATTGGTCATTTCCTGTTTGACCATTTTTTTTTTTTTTTTAAATTTTTTGTCGTAACCGACATAGCCGAACTTTTAACTGAAAAAAAAAAAAAAAAAAAAGCAGCAGCAAAAAAGAAAAAAAAAACATAACCGAAAAAAAAAAAAAAAAGCGGAAAAAAAAAAAAAAACATAAAAGCGAAAGAAATAAAAACCAGTGGCAGATAAAGTAAATAATAATAAACAACAGAAAAAGATGACTTAATATTTTTTTTTCTTTAATTTAATAAGAAAACTACCATATTATATACATATATAATAATATATGTATGTAGACTCTCCGTTTTACAAAGATGGAAAATGGATGAAGATTACCACTTTCTTCTAAAGATGCCGACTGTGGTGATTTAGCAGACTTTTGCTTGGTGGAGGGCGAGCGAGCACTAGAGAATTTCGAACGGTGGAGCTGTCCGTGGTGTTCGAGGAGACGAGTGGGGGAGACGACGGCCAAGAAAAGGATCTGCTTCCTTGTTGTGGGCAGAACAAGAAAGAGGAGGAGGACGACGACGGGCCACCCTGCTGGTGGCTACGACGAGATCAGAGCTGGGCTTTTAAAGCAATGGGTGGATGTAGTTCGGCCCTAATTATTTCTATGTGTGGACTTGTTCTTTTGGATGTATCATTTGCTGCCCATTATACGGATAAGTGGGCAGTTCGTATTGAAGGAGGTATACAAGCGGCAAAAGCTTTAGCCGAAAAACACGGATTTACTTTCTTGGGAGAGGTTCGTTATTATTATTATTATTTATTAATTAAAATTATTATTATTGACCCTTAAAAAAATCTCCTATTCCCTTAAAAGAAAAATAATAAAAATTTCATCTTTCTTTCATTTATTTATCAGCAATTATATTAAAAAATCAGGCAAATATTGTTTAAAAAATGTTTACTAATATTTTTTTCTTCCTTCAAAGCATTCTTAGCTCCTGGAATCGGATAAAATAAACCTACCTTTTTTTTTTTTTATTTTATTCACTTCGATTTTTTCTTGACTTATTTAAAAAAAAATCGAGCAGATCTTTAAATTCCTTCCTTTCTTTCTTTCTTTAAATTTAAAGGGTGATGATCCACCTTCCTGATTATCTCTTAGCTATAAGTGTGGTCTCTAACATGTTCTTCCATTAATGCACATAGAGATAGTAATATCCATTCTTTTTACCAATTTATTTATATTGAATGCAAGATTAGTTGTTGGTAGGGATCCACTTTTTTTGTTCTTCTTCCGAATGGTCATCTGGTTGCCTGGGAGAATTGTGCCACTGATGGTTGCAATTTTCTTTCATTCCTCCTGTCATTCTCTTTTTTTTTATTGTTCATTTCTTACCTTTCAACCGATTTTATGATTGAATTCAGGAAAAATGAAGACTTCATTGTAAAATGAAAATCTAATAGAACTGAATGATCCGCATATAGTATATGCATTTATTAGTACCGATTTAATACCAAGTACTACAGCTGGTGAATGACGCGTGCACAGTTTGAAAGAGGGTGGTTTCGTTTCGCGTGCGTTAAACTACTGCCACACTTGTTTGCGGTCCAAGACTTTTTTTCTTCTTCAGGCCTCATATCGTGACTGCACCTTTTAACTGTTAATAATAGCACTTCTAAGAAAAAGCAGAAAAATACATATTCGCAGACAAATTCACTGAAACTGACGGAAATTAAAAAATCCTAGTTTACTCACGCGGCAAATAACGCTAAAATTTAATTTAAATAAATAAATAAAAATATTAATTCGTTAACTACACCTTCCGCGTGGTCTGTTTCAATCTTTCCTACCAGGAAAACCTAGCCCTAATCTACAGCTCGAAAATGCAAAAATATCAACTTATTAAAGAAGGATTGGATTACTGTGCGTCTGCCTTGTGCCAGACGCAATGTATATAGCTAAAAAAAAACAAAAAAAAAAAACACTAATTCATTAATTATTGGGTTATTCTTAAATCGTGTGAATAATAATAATGATAATAATCTAGGATTTTTACCAGAGAGACATGATTAAAGGGGTAAAAAAATACGGAGAATTTGCATTTTTATGTCTAAGAAACAGGACGACTTTTTGGCACGTGACCATAAGTGGCAAAAGACAGGTGGCAAAGAATCGGTAAAGAAAAATAAGGCCTTTATATATATATATATATATATATATAAATTCTGAATTATTTTTTCTGACTTTATTTGTTTAAAGACTAAGAGAGTAGATTTGATACGATTATCAAGCCTTTCTTCAGTTTCAACTGAATTATTTAATTAAACTTTAATGATGAAATGATCCCCTGCTTCCCACGAGACGTGCGTTGTTTTTTTGTTTTTTTTATAAAACCTCGCCTCTCCTGGAAATAAAGAAAATCTGGGGATGATGCCATGTGAATAATATTCGTGAGTGATATTTATATATAAATATTATTAACGTTACAGAGTACTTACTCTTCGTAATAATAATTCTGCTTTAGACTAAGTCACTATTACTACAATACATTAGTTGTGGGCTACTTTCAGCCTGCAACAATTCCGTCGTAAACGAAAAAAAAACAATCACACACGTACACACGGTTGTTGTTGACGTCGTGATTTAAATACATTAATAAAGTAATAATGATGAATAAATATAAAACTCAAATAAAAAGTAAATAATTATGGTGTGAAGTGGAATTATCGACAGCAGCACGCGTGCCGAAATTATCGAGGAGAGACAAATTATTTATTTGTACACATGAGAAATTAATTAATAAACCTGTTTTTTTCCTCCTTTCTGCACACTCATCAGAAAAAGGACATGTAAACAAGCAATTCTTGCCTAATTAACCCAACCTGAATTAAATGCTTTAGTTTCCAAACACCCGGTTGTAACTCCCAGCCCTTGTAACCCCAATTTAGGGTAGTCTTGTTAGTTAAGGAGTTAAAAAAAAACATCCCCTAGGAAGATAGTAGCACCTTTCTCTAAGATCTTGTTAGAATTTCCTTTTAAATCCCTAGAGATGGAAAAAACAAAAGAAAAAAAACCCTAAGGACAAGGTATTACGAGTCTTTTTGCTAAAAAGACTCTTAATACCTTTTTTTTTTTTTTTTTTTTCTTTTTGTAACTAGAAAATATTGTCTTCGTTACAAAAAAAATTAAACGAAAATAAATATTTCGAAAGATCTTGGCTATATTTTTGGTATTTCCAGAATACAGACAGGCTTGTTGAAAAGTTCTAGGCCCAACCAACAAGGGATTCATAAAAATGTTTAGCCATTTGATAAGATTTTGGGAAATGGGTCGGGCTGAGAACTTTTCAGTGCCCTTTCATTTTTATCCCTAAGGAATATTTACTGTTGAAAATAAAATTTTCAATTTTCTGGAGGTTTCACTATTTGAATTTCTTCCTGTTATTGACACGAGCTTTAGCTCTTCTAGTAATTTTTGGTATTTAATAAAACTATAAATATCCTTAAAAATCCCTGTAGTGTACTTTATTATTATTTTTTTTTTTTTTTTTTATTCCATACCATTTTTTTAAAGTTACTGCTATATTACACACACACACACACACACACACACTAAGTAAAAGTGGAGTGGTACGAGTAAGTGAAGTAGTAGTCAGAAACATCCTGATAAAATGAAAAGAAAGATGAGACCCTAATTTAATCGGAGGCAAAACCGGGCCCTGCTTTCCTCAATATCATCCCCCTCCCCTAATTGAAATGTAAATTCCCTCCCTGCGAAAGACTTTCCGACTGGGCTTAAAAAAAAAAAAAAATCATTATTTCCTGAAAACTTCCCGTTTTAGCTTTCATTTACTTAGGTTTTGCAGAGAATTTTTTTTAATCCAGTTTTGTTTAAAACAAGAATTATTTTTTAAAAGTGACGGTTTTTTAACTAAAAATAAAATTAACAAGCATCCACGTGGATTATTTTTAATAAGCGTCCCCTTTCCCTTCTTTTTTTAATGATTTCATCGCATTCCTTTAAAAAAATCTATAGTGGTACTAAAAAAACAGTCACGTATTTTGCCAAGAGACTTCAAAATTCCTGCAAACCTGGCAGCATCAACCATATCTCTGTAGTTAAGGGTTGAATAAGTAATGTTTCTCTTCTTTACCATTCCTATTTCCGCTTCACTGACCATGCCTGGAAAAGGATTCGGTCTCTTGAGAAATTATTTATTTATAATGTACTCTTGATAGATAGCGAAATGAATGAATCAAAGAATTTTTTTTACTTATTGTCCACCTGTCTACTTCCTAGGCTGTTTTATCCTTCTTTCCTAGTAAAACTCCCAAGTTAACGTACCTAATAGCTATATATTACTTAATTGTTGTGTTAGTAGGTAGGTGTGGGGGTCCATTAGTGCATTCAGGGGAAAGTCCATACGTACATGCCGTTGGGAGAACTATTGTGGGGATATAATGACAACTTATTTCTGTTTAGAAGAGGGAAGATTGTTTTTCTTTTTTTGTCGATCTGTAGCCACCTTCAACACATAACCCAACCCTTCTTAATGGTAATCTTCTCCCTGCGACTCCCCCTCGACTGTTACCCCCAAACCCCCTCGACTCTTCTTACCCCCAAACCCCCCTCGACTCTTTGTTGCCAAATTCCATCTTACAGTATGTACGATAACCATTGGGAAAAAAAATCTGTTCTTGCTTCTCATTGATCTACCACTGTTTGCGAATGCGAAATTTCTTCTTTTTCCTTTTCTTGCTTCTACTCTCTAATCTCAGACCTTCAAGTGAAGATCTTGCACATGAAAACCGGCTTCTTACTTGGAAGACCCAGTTCGCTTTCATTTGGCGGCGTTTCTTGTAGGTATATGGTGATTTCGTTCACTTATTTTGTGATGAAGGTGGAAAAGATAGTAGCTGTCAAAGTGTAACATACGAAATCGGTCTTCTTGCCACATTGTTGTGCTGCTTATGACGATCTAGCCACTTACATTCACCATCGATCTTGTCTGTGTTGGCATTCCGTGTCCACTCCGGCTGCTACTACCACGGATCGAAGGTGGGGGACAAGGCTGGCGGCGAGGGCCAGTGGAAAGCGCTACCCGACCGCTATTGTCTTTCATCGTTTTTATTTCTTCTTCTCGACGACCTTATTCATGTGACTAGTAGTAACTTGTTTGTAGTAACTTTGTACTATCAAGTCGTAGTAGTGATTGAATGTCCCGAGGAATAAACGAAAAAAAAAAAAGATGAGCATCTGGAGTCGCCAGACTGTCGTCTCTTAACTTCAACTACTGACTTCTCTCCCTGCTGATAATCTCCTACTGTAGTAGTAAAAGAAAAAAGATTAACTAACAAAAATAAACCAAGATGAGAATAGTGACGCCCTTTTCTGATGAATATTTTTAATTTTAAGATTCATGATCCCTGACTAACACCTGTTTAATAATAAATACTCGCTCATTACTTTACTACTTTTATTCAGTCATTTACACATTCATTATTCATGACTTTCTGGTTTTTATTTATTATATAAAATAAAATTAATATGGAAACAACATTTGATGATAAATAAAATTAGAAAGATTTTTTTTACTCATGCAGTAGTTTTTTTAAATTTATGGAATTTGACTTCAAAAATAAGTCCTCAGCCGGTGTTTATTGCAAGATAATGGTTTGTTAAAAAAATACATCACGTAGAGACGACTTTTTATCTTTATAAAATTATTATTCCACCTTCTTGAAGATTTAACTGGAACAATGTCAAATTTCAAAGCAGGTTTTTTGCTGCGTGAG